TTCAGATGAATTTCAAAGTTGAAATGAAGGAGAGGGAACAAGTATGTCTGACTGCATGGAAAAATTCCGCAATTAATTTTAGGAATAACAACTATTCCATACACACATTAGTAGATCATATTGAGCTAAATTAAGATGTATCAATTGCACTCTGGAAATTATAAAATCGGAGTAGAGATGGATTCACAGTGGATTGGACGATCGTTTAGGTAGGAGAAGCTTGAAGTGAGAAGGAGAGGGTGAAATGGAGAGTAGATTGTAAGGGAGGCCTGAGCGCGCGGATAAGGAATTGGTGCAGTTTACTAAGAAAATGATTTTAGTTTTGTTAAAGTGGTAATAGTAAATTGAGAGCAGATGAATAGGGCAGTTAATGACTCATGAAATAGCAAATCGTAATTATATTTCAATTGAATTTGCTATTAGAACTGTTAAAGGATTCCTCTCTGGCACCCAAAGTAAGCAAAATTCAAACGAATTGAAGGAGCTCCGTTAAACGTTGAACGCATAAATATGATAGAACTATGACTACTATTACAGTAGGGTTTAAAAATTAGGGAAAAAAACTGTATGGTTCAATCCAACAAAGATGAGCACAAGCAACTTGCCAACGACCTCAAGAAACCCGTCTTCGTCCAATACACTTCAAGTAAGAAGGCCTGAAGTTTACTCTCCAAGCGAATCTAAAGCAGCCCTCAATGCGTTGCTTAGCCTTCGAAGACAATTCTTGGCACATAAGGGTTGTGGAAAACCCAGAAAGGGCAAGGTGCTGGATGCCTGGAAAGCACAACCAGGAAATCTTGTATCAAAACAGTGCAAACTACTGTTGACGGCTTACTGCTTATAGAGCCACTTGATGTCATTCATGAAGATGATAACACTGATGTTGTTAATGGAAGTAGGGACGATGGCATTATCGATCCATTTTGATTTATTTTTACCCTGGGTTTAAGGCAAATTGACTACTATATTATTGGAAATTATACCGCGTGCTTTCATTGAAAATGGTCAGACATCTACCGACATAGTTACAACATTTGATATTTGAACTCCTCTTGCTAAAATTATAACAAAATTTTGCCAATAACCTATGGCTATTTAGAGTAACAGATCATTCTTTCTATTCAGAGGACCAAATATTATCCACATGTTTCGCAATTTCATTTCATAAATTAACGCCACTTGTAAACTCTTATTTAACTATAAAATCTAATTATAGTGCTATGCGCCATCCTCCGGCTTGTCTTTCTTCATTAAATAAATAAATAAATAAACTTATTTACGTCAGTTTCATTACTTGATCTGTTGATGGAAAGCCCATCAGCAACCTGAATGACGTCAAGCGCATTTTCAGCTCCACCAGTTTCCTGTGCATTACACGAAAACACATGAGTAGAAATAGAGGAGATAGCATTTTTGGACGAAATAAAATTACTTGAGAATGATGAAAGCAAGGATTTTCTCATTTTCCAATTGAATCGGTAGAGCAAAAAGAATTGTAACCTTATATGCCTTTCCCAGATCAACCTCGACTACGGAATATACTATTTGAAGGACATTTATTTAGGCCAAATAGCAGGCGTCTTGATAGTTATAATTAGCTCTTTAGTTGATTTCAGGCTTCACAGAGAGGAGGAGGAACATCAAAGTGTAAAAGTCTAGAGTGTTTCAAAGATGCAAAAGGGACAGACACAAAGGTAGAAAAAAAGGTGAGGTGAGAACTGGGGAAGTAGTCGAATGACATACAGTGGGGTGACAAGCTTTATGGTAGCTATTGCTTTAGTTTACTTAGGTCTTCACAAAGCAGAGGAACTTCAAAGTCGCAAAGGTCGTTTAAGGGAGGGGGGGGGGATTGAAGGAGTACTTCACATGTGTATAAGAGGGAGACACAAAGATAGAAAAAAGGTGAGGTGAGTACTGTGGAAGTGGTAGAATATGACACAGTGGGGTCATGATAGCTTGAAGTGGGAAGTCAAGCGCCGGTTAATAGACTATTTTGTCGTATGAGCGCACCACGTGGAGGTAAGTCTTTCGCACACCTCGATTGAAAGGTCATAGTGGAACCTATAATTTGAATGAATAGGTAACTGCCGATTCTCCCATCGGAAATTCACGCAGTTTCTCCGAATGCGGCATTCTTGCATCAACTTTAGAATCAAAGTACTAGAAATGATACTGTTGCTTTTGATACCGATATTGCTACTTATGAGTAAAAAAAAGCACTGGCTAAGAGAAGACTGCTGAATTTACATCAGTAGTATCTGTGGCGGTACCAAAGGCAGAAGCAGCAAGTTGCAATTTAGAAAGGAGAGGGTATTGAGTGGAAATGGTAGTCAACAAAACAATATTTTGGGGAACTTAGCATTGGTTCCAAATTTATTGATTCCAAAATTAATATGGGTTGAGGAGTTGCTGTTTGAACTGTGAAAACGGTGTTGAGCGTGAGATGAGATGCAAAAGAGGATTGGATCTAGTAGGATTAGAGGCGAATAAAAGTGGATTCTCGCAGATCATGAGTTCGGCTATCAGCGTAAGAGTACATGCCTACTTTTCTTGCGTTGAATGAGATCCAATGTTTCACCACACACTTGTCACACACGAAGTAGTTGCTGATTTATGCATGAACTCATGGCAAATTCGAGTGCTGTTGACTAGAATACCCTCTGGTTGGGCATTGCAGTTGCTGTGGTGGATATGAAGCAGATCATTTATGGACGAGGAAGTTAACGTGTTGTTAGGAGAAGACAATGCTGAGGTCAAACAAGATTTGCGGAGAGAGGGAGAGGAAAGTGTAATCGAGTTTTTGAAACATTTAAAGAGAGGGTAAAGAAACGCGAAACATGAGTATAAATGAAAGTACGTTTTAATGACCCAACTGCTCGACTTCTTCAGGAAATCAAACACTCCTCCCCAGCAAATGCGCTCACTGGCCCTTGAGACAATCAATGTCAACTATCCTGCACATCAATGGCTCCAAGTCTTCACTGATGGGTCATACATAGAAAGCCAAGCAAACGTTGGTGCAGGTGTCTATTCTGAACTCTTCTCTTTCTACGCAGCAGTGGGACATAATAGATTCGCTTTTGAAGGAGAAATAGAGACCATTAGGATAGCAATATGCCAATTATGCTGCCTGGATACGAAATTTACCAAAGCGGTGATACTTTCGGACTCACAGTCAGCAATAGACTCTATTTGAAACAGAGAGACACCCAAAACAGCTGAGATAAAGGAATGTAGAAAACTCTATGAGCTGCTGAGAGAGAAAAACAAAACAGTGGTCCTACAATGGATTCCTGGTCACTGTGGCATTAAAGGCAATGAGATTGCTGACACACTTGCTAAGAAGGGGACAAGGATTTTGGAATGCATGGACCGGCCGATGTCTTTCCACACAATGAAGGCCTTAATCAGGAGAGGATTCCAGACCTCAAGGTGCAACGAACTCAAAGCTCGAACAAAGGAGAAACAGTGGAGAGTGGCAATCTCCGACATACCCGACTGGTTAAGAATCGAAGCCGTTGCTGAGTTTAGACTACGTACCGGACACGATTGCTTGGCAAAACACCTTCACAGATTGGGAGTATACACTCAACCCACATGTTCTCTATGTAACCGACAGGAGGAAATGGATAAGACCCACCTGATTCGGTGTCCAGCCCTAAAGACAAGGATGCAAAGCCAAAAATACTGGAAAGCAAGAAGACTGCTAATGAACTGCTATTAATTAACTGCTATAAATGTACCCCCCCCCCTTCTTAGGGGAAGCGGAAGTCAAAGATTAAGGGCTAATGATAAATATCATAAAGCTTGCCATGTGAAATAAATAAACGTTTTAATGATGCAGCAACAAATTGCATAGTACACAAACCTAACACTATTAAACTAAGCTATCGCGAATGTTTTGAAACGTACGACAGTGATGTCAATTGCGTTGTTAGATGGTTAAATGAAGGTAAATGTTATTTAAACGTTGTTTAAATGCATATTTACCCTATAGAATTCAGGATAGTTTAGCTAATCCAGTAAACCTTTATAAACTCGGAAAAGTTGACATTGTGACTACTGAGGCAAAGTTAAAGCTTATTTTTGTGGGAATACGCAACAGTAAAATGATGTTTAATTAAACCTCAAGACAATTTACTTCACCATTAAGCAAGATATAAAATAAACGTATCAGAACTGAAGTCAAAATTTATGCGAACAGCTGGAACAAAAATGTTAAAAAATTACGAGAAATATGGTCCTAAATTTGATCAACTCTGAATTCTTTTTCTCAAAGAAGAAATTGTTGCTTAGTTGTGACGTAAATTGCCCGCAGCCATTTAATCAATAGTTTTAAAATGAAGCGGTAAAAGATGCCTTTAATGCTAAGGTCATGACGAGAGTTAAAAGTAAAATGAATTTAATGTTAGTTAGCTTATTCATATATATATATCACATTTACTTAATTGTTTGCCAGAATTCTCAAGGAACAAAGTTTTTACTGGGCAAGCAAATTTTACATCAAACTCGTTGATTACTCAGTACCTTTTAATAACTTTTTGTATACAATTAATGCATCTATTTGACATTCTCAAATCAATTCATGAAGGCAAATTCGGTATTGTTAGACCTCTGTTGCACCAGTATATGAAACCTATCTTTCGTTTGAAAGTGAATTGAATATGCTGCTTATATTAAACTCACAAGTCTATGTATTGAAATGTTTCTTTTCATATTTGAAAATATTAGGCCAAGTAGCATTCTATTAATCTCCCATTTCTTATGTGATCGATTCAATGTACAAACATGCAATACAACATTCGTTTGCTCTCATTTTGTTTAATTTACGCCCGAGTAATTCGACGTGCAAAGTTGCATGTTATTAACTCTTTCCGGTTAGAAATTCTGTCGAATTTAAGGCGATTTGAATGCGTGTTTTCATGCTCAAATTGAAATAAAAATGCCATTTCATAACGACGTAAAGGGCGCTTCTTCCTTAGCTATAATCCACATTGGTTTCACCTGCTCCTTCTAATTGCTTACTTGTTATCTATGATTTAGGAAATCCTTCCCATCAATCTATATTTCCCCCCTTATATCGAAAAGTATTAGAAATCTCAATTGCTTTACCAAGCACACATTTTTATTAAATTTCCTCTTAAAAGTGAGTACAAGTGCTTTCAATGGCTTTTACTTTCTGGGGGGAGGGAGGATAGCTTTTCTGTTGGAGATGAAATATCATCATGAGAGAGTAGACATTGGAAGTCCATTCAACGCGAGAACAAGCTGCCGATTTCCTGGTGGGGAAAATGCGTGTTTTACATTCCCACGCATCAGAGGTCGTTGCACTTGTCTCGCATATTGAAGACTCATCTCACCCTGATGAATTTCTTCAGAATCACAACCAGAATCACTAGCAGGGGCTCAAACTTGATATACCCATTGAGCAGTGCCCATACTCATTGAGTATACTCATTTCGAAGTGCCTATGTAAAAATGGAATAAGTGAGGTGAGGTGAGGTAAGGAGAGATGAGGCTACAGAGTGCATGGCTGACTCTGCGCATTTCAAATTACGACATTCAACTCACCAAATGGTTGGAGAAGCTCAAGTTGACTGCGAAGTGGTGTTTATAGGAAGTGAACTCCACGATTCTCTCCCTCGAATAAGGAACTGATTCACCTTCTCCTTCATTCTTATCAGTATTAAGGAGATATTAAAAGCAACCAGACGGAGGATGTGGAACATGAGTGGATGGAAGGAGGAGAAGCATTGGCAGAGTCGGCTTGCCTTAATTTGGTCATACTTTGAACCGCTCTTCCAAGTGCCTGCCTACCGGCGGCTTTCGGTAACCACCATTGTAAGATCAAGATCATAAGATTCCATTGCAAACCCGCTCGCCGAGGAGCGAAACAACTCCAACGTTTGACTGCGGATGGTGCTCTT